TAGAAATGCTGCTCCATAGTGTCTTCTAAATATTTATTAGTTTCCTCCTCCTTCCTGTTGCTTAAAGCTGCTGATTTGGGGCTGGTTATGATAGATGGGGAGACTTAAGCCTTTATTTCTGTAGTTTTCTTTTCCAAACGCTTCCAAGTTTTTTTTCACTTGAGGTAGAGGAGAACAATCATAATTACATTTGAGAGATGGAAAATAGCTTCTTCAGATTTCGTGAACAGTCTCTCCTTTTTTCCCCATAAAGTTCACTTTTTTTTTTTATGATGGAGACACTTTACATGGGGAGTTACTTTCAGTTCGTGATTATTTTTTTTCTGTTCTACATCATGTAAGTTTCATCAAATGGACCAAAATGTCTCAGACAACTTCATGGTGGTCTCGAGTTAAGAAGAAAATACTTTTCAGCGGCAGCTTACACTATATGGATCAGTCGTCCTCATAATTATGATGTTTTTCCTGTTGAAACAGATAAAATGCTATGTGATATCTTCTATATTTTTATAGATCAAATTTACTTCAGCCGTTTGAATTACAAGCATTATTTGGAGGATGGCTTTTTTTTTTAACTGTCTATTGAATAAGTTGCAGAAATTTCTCTCAAGAAAGTTAAAGTTCAAATAGTTTGTGCTATGCAGGACTGTCCTCCTTTCATTAGATGCTGAAGTAAACTTAGTCATCCTGAAGTAATTTTTAATTTTCTAGGCTTTAAGCCCCGTAAATGCACAACCGTGTTAGGTCAGTGCCCTTCACTGTAGTTCTTTAACCATCTTTGAAGTATCATTAGGAGATCTGGTCATGTGTTCATAATGTGGCAAATTGTTACATTATATAATCTTCGTTTTGTTAAAACATGGATTTAGAGAAACATTTATTAAAAGAAATTGTTGGGTTTCTAGTTTTTGTTTCGTTTTGCTATGCCAGAGAAGTTGACTGGATTTTATTAAGTAGTTCTTCTGTCACTGCACTTTATAGCAGCTCTTCAGGCATCACTTGAAATATTTAATTTCTCCTTCCCTTCAAGATACTATTTTCAGCAAACACTGATTCATCATCAAGATAAAGCACACTTCTGATTAGTATATTGTTATTTAGTACAGCTATTTATTAAGAAATTTCTGTTCTTCCTTTGCATCTGCCTCATCCTCAGATATTTATACATGTATGTGATGTACCTCTACCTCATAATCAGATACTCAGACCCTTACAAAGATGTAATATATAAATGTCTTGGGGGGGAAAAGCAAAGAAACATTTCTGTAGACATTTAACCAAGTTCTTGGGTTTTTACTTCTATCAATACCAACCTCATTAAAACCCATGATGATATCTGACATCATCTGCTTTCTGGATATATACTTGCCCCTTCAAACCTCAGTTCTGCAGATTGTTTGGTGTTTGTTCTCTGGGTTTTTACTCTAAGCATAATCACTTTTCATCTTAGAGGTTATAGATATATTATGAAATAAGCAGAATTCTGAATTGCAACTTTTCATGTTTTCTTCACAGAGTTTTTGAAGATGTCAGCAGATATACCGTTAAATATTAATATCAAGGAGCCCCGATGGGATCAAAGCACTTTTGTTGGACGAGCCAGTCACTTCTTTACTGTAACAGACCCCCGAAACATTTTGTTATCTGATGCCCAGCTGGAAAATGCAAGAAAAATTGTGCATGATTACAGGTATGGCATTGGTCACTTTTACTGCTGGCCCAAAAAAGTCCATATCAATGATAAATATGTGGTTATGTATTTAAAAGGAAATATTTAAAACACTGTATTCATTGCACCACGCTGTTCTTATTTCAGAGCTTGAGATGCCTTTTTTTTTTAAACAAATTTCTAATGAATGGGGAAATCATGTTCTCTGAGAACCCCTATTAAGTATTCTGAAATACAGAAGTGTCTAATTCTGAAAGTAGTTAAGATGACAACAGAGTTTAAAACTTCCTCTTATGTGTTATGTTGTTTGGAGCAAGTAGTTTCTTAAATACTTGTCAAGTCAGTTTTCAAAGTTTCACGCTCATGGCTCCAGAGATTTTAGCCTTATGTTTTAGCCCTAAAGACTGGAGCAGGTTTGAGTAAATAGAAATTTGGTGCTGGTTGTGCCGACTCAGCCAACATAACCACAGTTGGGAGTTTTGATTCTTTCTATTTCACCAGTCCATTTGAAAGCTGAAGACCTACAAGCTAACTATGAGGCTAGATTAATTTAGTAGGAACATCCAAAAATCCTCTGATGCTACATTTGTCAGTGGAGCTTGCAGCATTTTATAACAGTTGTGCTTTTTTTCTTGTTTTGTTTTTTGACTTGTCCCAAGACAAGGTATCGTGGCACCTGGCTTGACAGAAGATGACTTGTGGAGAGCAAAATACATCTATGATTCAGCCTTTCACCCGGACACTGGTGAAAAGATGGTCTTGATTGGCCGGATGTCAGCTCAGGTACCCATGAACATGACTATCACAGGTTGTATGATGACCTTTTATAGGTAAGTGATGGCAATATAACACATAAAACATTTGCTTACAAATTAGATGAGTGAAAATCAATGTTTTTGTCAAAAGAGCATTTTAGAAGTTTTAGAATAAATATTTTAAAATGTAAAATTTTGCTTCCTTTTCTCTTCTCTCTCTCCATTCCCTCACACTGACTAGTGGTTTCCTCTAGAAGTAGTTGTTAGCTAAGCCCTTAGCCCCTCTCCTTCACCATCCCACTTTTCCTCAAACTGGGAAAGCTGAATGTTCCCAAATCCCATCCATGTAGGAGAGTGGTGTGGAGAACAAAGAGGAGGAGATAATCGGGAATTTCTAACCTTAGAGACCTGGCATGTAGGATGTTCTGTCTGCCAAGTGAGTACTCAAATGTGCTTCGGCCCATCAGTCATCGAGTTTCTCCAGCTCCTGTTTGATCTTTCCCGTTCCTCAGTAGTTCTTGAACCACCAGTACAGTGAAGTCCACAGCAGAAGCCGGTATCATCTGTTAGTAGACTCCACATCAGAAATATTTTCGTGACACAATGCTTTGTTAGCAGGAACTGGGGGGAGGTTCAGAGGAAATAACAATAGCGGGTTTGATGCTGAGAGTTTGCAAATTCTTCACTCGCACTCCAGAAAGGCACAGCTATTTTGAATGGTGCAAATAGGTGTGTGTGTTTGAAACAGTTGAGAATATGAATAAAACCGTCCATACAGCTGCCCATTCACAAGCACTGCTTCCTGGTAACTGCTTATTCTTTTATGCATGTTCTGTTATTACCTGTAGTACTTGCAGCAGCTGTCTACCTTTTCTTTGCATTACGGTAATCACTCAGATTCAAAACTAGGTGATTTATTAGCCTGTAAGACATTGGTTTACTTGGAGCAAACCCTCAGCCGTGCATTGTGTAGAAGTCCTTGGATGATGCAACCTAGCCTCCCTCTTACTGCACATCACTGTGTTCTGGTTATTGCTGGCCACTGAAAGAAGCAAATTCCTCGTTAACACCCATGAGGGCTCTTGGGCGTGCAGTAAGGCAATGTAAGTCACACCTAAACTTTATAGCAGGCCTAACATCCTCTACACACCAGTAGCAATGAAACAGGAGAAGATGAGTCAGGAAAATTGTTGCACACGCCTCTACACACCAGTAGCAATGAAACAGGAGATGAGTCAGGAAAATTGTTGCACACACACAGGAAGAGAGGAGGAAGAACAGCAATAGTGAGGGGAAAAATCCAGCTAGTTTGTCACTGTTACTTTGGCATTTCATTCAGATACTGGAAACAAGAGGGAATAAGAATACACTTTAAAATCTCCTGAGTCTTTCAACTTTTTGCCAATTTAAAGAAATAACCTGTCTTCCCATTTCAGAACCAAAGCCTCATGACAGACACACACCTTCTACTCTAGCGTCTCCTTTTTGCTTTCCTGCCTGTTACAGAATAATTTGTACAATTGCTGCTTCTTCTTTAGCACTCTTAATTTCCATTTCAGCCCTCCAATAAGAACCACATTCCTGTTACTGCTACTGTCTGTGTTATTAAGTATTTTAAATTAAGTGTAAGCTTTAAAGTCCGGTGAAAAGTTATTTTAATGATTAGGAAATAGTTTTCAGTAGCAACTGTTATATTTGGTGGCCTGGTTCCCCTGACTGAAATTCTGGTGGAGCAGAATCTTCAGCGGTGTCTCCACTGGGGGCAGTATTTGTGGTCTGAGTACACAAAGAAACACTTCTCCCTGATACACTCTCCTAGCCTCCAACTATTTGTGGATCAGGAACTTCCTGATCCAGAGGTAGGGTTTTATTTAAGGGCCTTTAGTGGATTTCTTTTTCGTAAGTTTGTCCCATTGTTTAGGTATACTGCTAGTTTGAGAGCAAAAGCATTCATCCCTCCACAAGACAGCCCCATACGTTGTGAAACAAATTGACTGTCAGTTTTGTTATTTATCAGCATAACCATTTGTAGAATGTTTCTATCTGCAGTTTAACAGGGACATTATCTTGTTAAATGGGGACTCTGCAACTTGCACAGAATGTATTTTTTTCACTGCCTCCGCCCCGTGCTCACAAGTTAGCAGGCTTTTTTCCTAAGGCATCTGCATACTGGCATAGACATAATTTATGAGGATTCCTTGGAGCTCTTCTTTTTTTTTTTTTTTTTTGATGGCTGTTCATCTGTTTCATGCTGTACTGAACCAGAATAATTTCTGTGCTGAACCTGTACTTCATAAACATGAAGCTATTTTCATGAAAATAATTTTTCATTTTGGAGTTAAGTGTCTTTTAATCTGGTTCTACATGTGACTGAATGATTTAATGTCACGGGGGTTTATTAAAACAATGGCGGCATATTAGCTTTTTGGAGACTGAGAGGATAAACCCTGTCTCCCTAAATCCACCTCTCGGTTAGTTATGGAGCTTCCAAAGAGAACTAGCAGACTGTAAAGGAATAATAACCCTGGAAAAGTATTCTAGAAATTAGAATGTTTCATATTTCTCTGGGTGTTTTTTATAGAGAGATTTCCTATAACGCTTTTGTTGCTACAACAAACCTTTGTCCCAAATGAACCTTGCTGTTTAATTACAACGCTTTTAGATTCTGATCATAGAAGTAGTAGTATTTTCGTTATCAGGACTGTATTATTTCATTCAGATAAACAAGAACCTTTGCATGATTACTGCTTGCACTGGCTTTTCTTGATTTGCTGTCATTTTTCTGTGCTGTTAATTCAACTGTATTTTTAAATTACTGCTTGCACTGGCTTTTCTTGATTTGCCGTCATTTTTCTGTGCTGTTGATTCAACTGTATTTTTAATAATTTAATTGTTTTTCTTTTCAAGAACGACACCGGCAGTGGTTTTCTGGCAGTGGATTAACCAGTCCTTCAATGCTATAGTAAATTACACAAACAGGAGCGGTGACGCCCCAATTACTGTCAGGTCAGAACTGAACCACATAATTCTGATGTGTTTATAAGTTGCTCTCTGATGGACTGGAACGTGGTTGGGCTTTAAAGTTGAAGGTGACAGAGGGATAAGTTTTTTTCATCAGTGCTTATTATTGATTTGATATGCACAGATGGGAAGTCTGAGACTGATGGAGGCAAGAACTCCATTTCTGCCATTAGAGATAAGCCTAAGCATCTTGATCATCAGCACTTAACAGCACAGAATTTAATAGGAGTCTGTGTTGCATTGCTCAGTCAACGATTTGAAAGTGCCTCATCAGTTTGGTGTAGTATCAGGATATTTCTTAGTTGATATTTTGTGTGGACCTTCAGGTGTGTCTCTGCCATCTTCTCAGTGCCCTGCAGCGTAACACACACCACACTGTGTGCTTATTTACCAAAAGAGGACCCTGCGAGGAACTGGTCTGCACAGTACTTGTTTCTACTTGAAGGCAAAGAGAGAGACTAAATAGATGCAGAAAGCTAGAAATCATGAGTAGGAGGACTGGAAATGCAGTGCTTGACTTTCTGGTTTTGAGGTTGACTTGCTTATAGATGTCCAGGAGAAAGCAGTGGATTCAAGGATATATAGACACCTCCTAGCTGGGAAGTATGTAGTGTATGTTTTAGGGCAAATTGGGTTGGATTTGGGTGTTTGCAGCATATCTGGTCTGCATGTATGGGGTTTTGGTACAGGTGATTTTAATTGCTGTTGTAGACATGGCCTAGGAGATTAAATATGGAACTAGATCCTTCAAGGTGTTCATTCAGACACACAGAACACACTGAACAGACAGCCACGCAGAATCAGCAGGACCTGATTCAATGTTCAGGTGTTGCTTGCATGTGATTTTTACTGCTAGTGAAAGAAAAATGTTTAATTTAGTGTCCCATTTGAACCTTCCATACATATCTTACAGCAGTATCACAGAAAGGTCTTAACTCTTGGAGAAGCGTAACTACATGTGTAAAATGTAATTATTTTTAAAAGTGACATGAATGTAGTTGTTGTGCGTGTGCAAACGTTTTTATTTTTGTTTTAGCCAGCTGGGAACAGCATATGTTTCTGCTACCACAGGTGCTGTTGCAACAGCTTTAGGACTTAACGCACTAACAAAGGTATTGCTGTTATTTTTTTTTTCCATTCTTAACTAGACTTTGGTGTTCTGTGAGATGCTAATGGCTCATTTCTCCTCCTGTGTGTCTGTGTCATGTTGTGCACAGCTCCCAGTATGGAGTTGTAGTGGCCTTTGGCAGCTCCCTTCTTGAGATCCCAACCTTATTTTTGCCCCATGTAGGTGGTTTTATATGTATTTAGGTGGTTTTATATGTATTTCAAATAGCCTGTTCTCCTTATATGTGTATCAAGCAGCCTTGTGTTTTGTTAATGCAGACTGTATCTAATAACGTGCCTTTTTGCAGTTTCTTTTTTACATGGCAAAATATCTAATAGGATTTGAAAGTTAATTAGGGTGGATATGTAATTACAACAACGTGGGCTCATTATCCCATAAACTGTATAGGTGTGTTTTTAAGGTGCAGTATCACTTCTGCAAACATGGACGCCTATTCTAGTCTGGCTGAAGAACTTGTAAAGAGATGCCACTCTTAAATGCAGAAAGCTCAAATTCTTTAAACAAGTGCACAACACGATCAAGAAAAAAAGGTCCTTTAAAAAAAAAAATGAAACCAGCAAAAATGTAGTTTGTACCCCTCTGCTTATGCTTTAATGTACTGGGAGTGGTATAGTATTGACAAGTTATTTGAGAGACTATTCTAAGCAGAGTAATTCTAATTAAACAGGACATTGACTAGATGAACAGCCTCCATGGTCAGTGCCTTAGATGCAAAGCAGCTGGTATGGCTATTGCTGGCTGTGACCTTGCCAGCAGAGACAGTAAAGTTAAGGTCTGTTTAGTGTTGCTGTTGGGCTGACAGGCATACTCAGAAGCTGACACTTCTCTGCAGTAATGCTGATAAGTTAAGATTGGTTTTGCCAGTCTCCTGCAACTGCTCACTCTGAGAGAAGTATTTATCACTTATGTCTATTGTTTTACCTCTGCCCCACCAGTGAGTTTTCACTGAGTTTTAATTTAAAGGAAATAAGTCTGGTCTATCATTAGCACATGAAGCATTCTAATATGACCTTCAGGAAAGAAAATAGTTATGTAATTCTTTTCCTTTTTTTTAATCTTTTTTTTTTTTCCCCTCACTGTGTTTTACAGCATGTCTCACCCCTTATAGGACGATTTGTTCCTTTTGCTGCTGTTGCTGCTGCTAACTGCATTAATATTCCGCTAATGAGACAAAGGTAGGAAAAAGAACAAAGATCACTCCTTCTAGAAGAAAGGATGTTACTGAGTTTTTAGATCAGCAAGTTACTAAATAAAGCACATTATATATCTTTAGCTTGTTTGAGAACCTCATGTTTGCAAAAACCTCATGTTTTGAAAAAACCTTGTTTTGACTGATTGATTGTGACAGGTATAAAACAGAACATCCTCATTCTCTTCAGATAAATATCCATAAGAGTCCTTCAGTCTTAGATCTCAGAAACCAAGTACTGGTCCTTCAAAACTTGGTCACATGCACCCTTTAATACAAACTGTACTTTGGAAAAATACCGTAATTTCAAAAATGATGTTTCAAATCCCACATGCAGAAGTTAGTCATAGAAGTCAGGCTCTGCAGTTCTGTTTAATCATCTGGGATTAAAAAATACACAGTTTCTCAGAACCAAAATTTCATATGTATTCTGATTTGACTAGAACTAAGTATAGAAGTGGGGAAAAAACAAATGAAAAGCACCCTTTTATAAACATGAGGTTCTGGGCAGAAAAGGGAATATTTAAAGTTTGTATTTACAATGAAATTCAATCCATGGTAGTATTTTATCTCTTAGAAAAGATGAGGAGAAGAATAAAGGCAGTTCTCAGAGTATCTGCCCTTCCGTCTGCTTCTCACTCCCATAGACGTTCTCCCCAGTATGTGAATTTAACACCTAACCCTACACTTGAGCAAAAGATCTAATGGAGAATAATACAGTTACAGAAATGTAGTTTGTTTTGTGCATCCTTTTATACTTTCAAATATGTTCTTAGTGGTTGGGAAGAAAACTCATACTAGAATGCCAGAGGGGATTTTTCACAGACTTCTGTTTTAGTTCAGTGAAACTAATCTTCCCATATTCCCTGTGTTGTCTGTTGGAAAGGACAGACTACTTCCAGAGCAGTCCAGAAAATTCCACTTTTCCAAATTCCTTTTTGAAGGAACCTCTCCCTTCTGTGAACAACAGAAATAACACATCTTCTTTCTTCCCCACTTGGAATGCACATGACCAGGCTCAAGGGGCAGACTGCTGATGCAAATATTAGAAGTTGTTTACTTTTCAGCATATTTTTCCCCAGATCTTTCTCTGCCTTTTGAAATTGTTGCGCCAGTGTTACAAACAGGCTAAAATAAAATAAAACCTGTAATTCTTATCATTGATAATTTTAAGGACACAAAGGTAAGGTGACAAAAAAGGTGAATAAATACGTGTCAGTCACTGCTTTATTTGTACCCCTTGTTCAACAGAGAACTCAAGTTTGGAATCCCTGTCACAGATGAGAATGGAAACAGACTGGGTGAATCAACAAAAGCAGCTCAGCAGGCAATTACCCAGGTGGTTATATCAAGGATTCTTATGGCTGCTCCTGGCATGGGTAAGAGTAACTGCAGTCATGTGCAGCTCCTGATTATCAGTACCTAATGAGAGAGCGCTTAAATTCTATATCAGTGGTTTTTCTCAGAGGCTAAATTATCTTACAGTTACGCAGGCAGTATTTACATTTCCGTTAAGAAGCTCCACAGAGAAATGTCCATTTCTTACTGTGAAAACATCCAGTGTGTAACACTGAATTGCAGCAGAAAAGCTCCTGGGATGCTGTTGCAGAAAAGATACAGATAAAAAAGGAATGGTAGCAAATTCCACTTCAGTGGAACTGATTTAGTGAAAAGTAGGTGCTTTGATCAGTGCCAAGTTACTGAGCTCAGGTTTAGTTACGTATGAAATTAGAAGTTTCATTTGTTGGGAGAATTTACCTCTGTAAATAGCAGTCCGGTATCTTGAATTGGCAATGTGAACTGCAAGCTCAGATAGATAGTGACAAAAATTGTATTATGGTATTAGGTCGTCTTAACAGAAAGTGAAAACAAAGTGCCTTTTTCTCCAAGGTCAATGCTTTTTTTTTTCCCCTTGTTCGCAGCGATTCCTCCCTTCATAATGAATACATTGGAAAAGAGAGCATTTTTGAAGGTTAGTCTTAAGATAAGCTGTGTATATATTTCATATCCTAAGTTAATATTTTCATGAATTTAAAATACTTTCTGAGTCTTCATATTTGCCTCCCAAACACTCAGGGAGGACATCACTATAGAGCTTGCTTTACAGCTGTTGCTTTCTTTCTGCCTTAGAGCAGAAAACAGAGATAGCTTGGTTCTTTTTATCACAGTGTAAAATAACATTAAGAAAATTTTTTTGTGTGTGTTATTTTTATAATTGTTCTTAAAATGCAGAGTTCCTCCTAGTAAATAAACCTTCCTGGTATTGAGATTTGCAATACAGTTTATTAGAAAAATATCGAAAATTTTAATAAACCTTTTTTCTCAAGATAACAATAAGGAGGCTTTGCTTAGCTGTTGTGATAGCAATTTGGCTTTGGAAACAACAATGATGGTAAAAATCTCTTTTGAAAATGATCCTTTAAAATTTACTGGACGAGCATGTGAAGGTAGGCATAGAATGGCCATGCTTCATCAAAGATTACCTATTTCCTATATTCTGTTTATGCTAATATAGCGTAAGGTTGAACACCTGATGTTAGTAAATATATAACGTAAATCAACATAATGCACTGTGTGTGCATGAGAGGGTAAAGAACAATAACAAAATTAATTCTAGGATTGTCTAACACAAGAGAAATAATACTCAGATGAGGAACTCCGTAGCTCTTTACCAGTAAAGGGGGTTTCATCTTCACCAGCTGATATCACGGATTTACTTACTACGTAGCCACAGGCAAAGTCTCTGTGTGTGAAAGCCACCCAGCAGGCTGGGAACAATAGCCTGAGAGAATCTGGCTCCTTCCTGTTGGAAGAAGTTACAGAAAGAAAGTGTGGGCTGTCTCCAGACCTTCCCTTGCAAAAGTGGTTTGGGTGGGGACTGGGAGGACAAGCAGGGGAAGTTGCCTGGTTTTGGTTGTCTAAGATAAAGCTTTCTAAAATACTTCAATTATATTTTTTATTATTTCTGCCCTTCATTTTTCTCGTGCAGTTAGATTACGCAGGCACATACACCATTTGAAAGTGCTTCTGTAAATATAAATGGGGTGTTGGGAAGAAGTCCTAATTCGTGTTCCAATTTTAAAAACTTTTTTTCTCCTGAAGTGCTTTGCTTCCCCCCCCCTTGTTAACAGAAGACACTGTTGCTCAGAATGTAAAATCAGGAAATGTGGTGTTTTGAGTTTTAGAGTGAAAGTCAGTAAAAGTGCTGCTTATATCTCCTGAAAGAAGTGAGACTGCAGTGCATCCAAATACACTCTTCATCTGCAGCATAAAGAGCCCTATACTGGTTTGGCCAACTCTTAATTGCTGATTTCTTCTGACTCATGCCCTGTTTGCAGAGTAGTTTTAAGCAGCGTGTGATAAAGTTATGTTCTTTAGAATGTGTTACCTGGAATGTTAAACCTTGTTTTAAAAAAAAACCATAAATACTCGTAAATTTAGAGCAAAGATTATGACATGAGAGAAATGTCACAAATGCTGTCAACTCAACTGCAAGTACATGACATTGTGAAGAAGTTGCAGCAATCCTGAGGGTCTGGAGACAAGTGTCTGTTGTTTTTGTGTGGTATAATCAATATAAGGGTGTTGTGAATTTTTCAGATCAGCAAAAATGAGCGATTTCTTCAGTGACTACTCAGTGGTCTTTGGTACCATCATGACCGTTTATGCTCACCTGTTGCTCCCCCTCAGCCTCAAAGACTGTGAGTTCAGGTGAAACTGCTCTGCAGGTAGTCAGTGGTAACACTTGGTAGAGATTAGTATTAAAACCATTAAGGAATGAGCTGCGTGTTTAACAAGCAGCTTCTGCATGTCCTCTTGAGGTTTCAGAAGCACCATCCCATTTGCAGTACTCCAATACCATCCACACAGTGCTTTACTAACTCGTTATTCTTAGCCTTTGCTTTGCACACCATCACGTAATTCTTGTATGCTTGCCAAAGCCTATTAAGCAACACACAAGGCCAGAAAATAAGCAAATGGTTGTGAAATAGTAAAGAAAATAGAACGATGTTCTGCAGTAATAAAGAAATGCTTCTGGAATGTTTGTGTTAGCGACAGCAGGTTATCGTCCTCTGATAGTTCAGAGATGTAGGTTGTGTAGCGCTATTCATCTCCCATATTCCGACATTGTTTTGCACAAGGACGTTTTGATGGTAACATTAGTATGAATTAACAATATTCCCCAAAGTTATTGCTAGAAAATGACTCAAGAATGTTTTTAGAACACAAGCACGTACTGCTTCAAAATGAATCTGATTATTCCTTGACTTGAAAAAAAATTGCTTATAGGTATTTGCTGTTGCTGTAGGTTTCAGCAGTGGCTTTGGCTGCCTTTTGTGCAATTATGCAGTGTAGTAGTTCTAGATGAGGCTGTATGATGTCTCTGTTCATTATCCTTACTGGCCTACACTTGACTAGCTCTGCGCAGAACCAAGTTATTTTATCTGCTGCAGCAGGAGGATCTATAAACAACCTCGCTCTGAGGCACAGTGTTTATAGATTTATTTTAGTTACAGGTAACCTTTCTCCTAAGGAAAGAAATTGGTTTTTTCCATAGAAACTTCTGAAAATTCTAGTCAACACTGAAGTTTTAGTTTACATTACTACTTTTACAGCTTCAGCTACTGTTTCTCTCCCGTTCTGCATACTGTATTAACATTCAGGTTGTTTCCAGAAATTTCCTCATATATCCTTAAAACAAACTCCTTGGGGTCTCTTAGTCTGCAGCTGAAATACGTATTCAAAACTGTTACAAAACTAGAACAAAGTGCCTTTTTTTTTTTTAAAGCATCGTTCTTGAGTGTCTTATGCCTTAGAGTCCTCCATGCATTCCTAATTTTACTGTCATTTCATGTATTCGTTTTTTTTTTTTAAACGGGCATAGCTAGCCTGGGAAAGCTGACAGATTTTGAAATCCAACAATGAAAGGAAGCAGTTAGAAAAAAAGCTGATTCTCCTTATGGCTTTTGTTTGCTTAATTATCATTTCTCATTTTTCTGTGTTTGCACTAACAACTAAAGATGCCATAAAGACATCTGGAAGTTAATTTCATCAGGAACCGCCTTCTTCCGGAGTTAAGTAATAGTTCTCCAACACGGTTAATTCTTCTGCTGTCTTGTACTACTCCATTTTATCTCTTTGTAGGGTTGTACAGCCTGCATTTGAGTTTTGCTTTATTGTTTTACATTGTTCCTTGGGCAATTCTAATTCTTAATATTGACCTCCCGGTGTTAAGAGTTTTACCTCACCATCTTTCTTGCTTAGTGCAGCCTGGTAACAGTCTTGAAAAATAAAGGCTGTAACTCAGATCCAGTACCTTGGCAAAAAATGTTCCACCACATGAAATAGATGTTGTTTATATTGTCTGTACTAGTAGACACCCCTCTCTCTCTCTCTCAGATTAACGACCAACTCTGAAGCCATCTATTATTCTAATGACGCCCTTCAAGTTTTTTCAGTTATAAAATCATATTTGGGGCTTCTCTGTTATCTATCTCAGGTCCCATGCTCACACCACAATGTGTAGCATTCTCCCTTAATTCTTCCTACAGACTGAAGTAATTTGCAGTAGTTTGTCTGTGTTCCCAAATACATGTAATAATTACCAGTGCCAGAGTCCTACATACCTTTCCACTGTCAGTCACACCATTGTTTGTCATAAATTCACTCAAAATGCTTTACATTTTACACATTGGGAGAGTTCATCTCAGCTGGGAGCCAAATGAAGATGTGTTCAGCGGAATGCCAGAACAGCAGAGCACTGTGTATTCACTCTATCTTTCTTGCTATTGCTCTCTTTCCCATTTGTTATCTCTTCTTGCAGGTTATTGCTGAATTGCAGTTCTCCCTGCACTCATTTCTGGATTACAGATTGACTCCAAGGGAGGGAAAAAAAAAAAAGCAGCAAGCAGCAGCAATCTTCTACATCATTTCTTCTCCCTCAGGCTCTGGAGAAAGTTTAATCTGCACAGGCTTGTTTTCTATGCCTCTTACGCTGCTGTGACCTTCCTTAGCACCAAGCTTTGTCCTGCTGAGCTTTCTAAGTATTTTCTATTTCTGCTCTCAGATAGTGCCCATCGCTTGTTCACCAGTTTCCCCTCCAACTTCTACATCTTGAGAAATGCTTCTTGCGGAAAAAAAAACATCATCATTGTTGAAAACATAATCCACTGTAACATAAGGTTTTTAACTCATTAGATGCTTTGTTTTAAAATCAGCTTCCTGTAATCATAGCAGTTGTGCATGTCCTACTTACTGGAGACATTGATTTTATTGTAGAAACAGACTGTTGTAGCAGTGTCATTTAAATTAATCCGGTTTTATTTCATCAGTAATTAGTTTCAACTAAAATCCTAACATGGGGGGGAGTGGATTCCTAAATCTTTTAAAGGCCTACAAGAAAACTGTCATATTTCTTGGCATATGTTCAAGTTCTACAAAAGTTAGTGATGAAGAATATGCTAAAAATGCACCATATGTTATGCATTGCTTTCTCAGCTCTTTTCCTCAATACTTCTACCTTTTTTTCCGTTAATAAAAGGAACTGGTATGTACCAGACTGTGCTGCAGGGCAACTTCCTACACAAAGCAAATCATAAGACAGGAGAAAGGGCCAAGACAGGCAGACTTACATTTTCCTTGACACCTCCCTTATTTATGGTTGGTGGCTGCAGTTGCTCAAAGTAAATCTCCAGTTGCAAGTTAAAACCAAAAGAGGAGCTGTAACCAGACCCAGCTCTTCTTAGGGATGCCTGGGCAAAATTCACAGTGCCCTTAGGAGCTATGGCAGCACCTTGCATCTGCAGCACTGCTCCAGGCTTTGGCTGTGGTGCTAGCTACTGTGGGCTTGTGGGACTCAAAGAAGTGGCCCACAGACTCAGATCATAAGTCAGTCAACCACTATTGTAGTTTCTAAGGGACACATAGTCAGAATAACCGTAGACATTGATATCACTGGGGATTTTCTTGTTACTTTACAAAGGGAGTGGGCTCTCAAATTGGACCTCAGCTTTAAGGTGTGCTGATGTTTTGCCTTCATCGTGTCCAAGAGTCTTCAAAGTGCAATCTGTCTCTTATACCACAAGAATTTCAGGGAAGTGGGAAGGGGGGCAGAAAAAGATACTGTACTCACTGTGTGCGGTTTATTTTTAACAGAGATTTCCTTGGATGAGTGCTCCCATTCAAGTGGGGTTAGTCGGATTCTGGTAAGTGATTTCTTTGGGTTGGGTCTACTTGTTTTAAGAGACACTTGTATGTTTTTTTGGAAGAAGCAGCAATATTTGCACTTTGTTGAAAAAAGTTGAGAGAGGTAATGAGGCTACAGCAGTTACTTCACTTCCGTATCTGTTACTGATAATACCATATTAAAAAAAAAAGCCATTAGTAATGAAGAAGCTGCCAAGAAAAGCAGAGGGAGGGGGAAAGAAAGGGAATGGCAAAAAAAGGCATGTAGCAGCTTGATTAGAAGAGATGCTTTGGCTGCTGCCTCCATAAACAATAACTGGAATCCAATCCTGTAGGTTAATAAATTCTTGAAACATTTGATTAATGGAAATTTTCTTTTGCTATTGTCTAGCATTTTACGTTATGCACACCAATGCAAAACACTGAAAGGACATCAAATGATAATTTTATACACAATTGTAAGCATAGTATTGATGCATTTAGTGCTACATAGTAGGTATATTATTTCATATGGTATAATGCAGTGAGAAACAAAGGTTACATAGCACTTCATAGAACTCTACCTCACTGTATACAAAAAAAAGCTTTCTGCCTAAGGGTTTTGAATTCTCTTTTAGCACCCTAAATATTGTAAACAAATTTTTGTCTCCTTTAGTCTCGTGTTTGCAACACCCCTGTGTTGTGCACTGTTTCCTCAAAAAAGGTACGTATTCCTGTTACATTATTCTTAATGTTGCACTCCAGACACATACAAGGTACTGCAAAAAGACAGAAACAAGTGGTCGTTGCCTGCTAGAGCATACAGTCTTAATGCCCATATAACAAGTGGGATAAACATGAGAATAATTCAGAAAAGTAATAACTGTGTTACTCATCAGTAATATATAATAGCTGAATTTGGCTTATTTGTTTACAAACAGCTACATAGGGATAGTGAACAAGAGGTTTGGGTGAGTAGTTCAACCAAGCTATTTCAAGCTGAGAAGTTTGAGCTTAATGATTCAGAGTTAAGAATCACTAGAATGGTTCCTAGAAAAGGATAATGTGGTCCAAACAGTATATTCATGTCCAGTAAGGTTATGGCTTCATTAAATACAGTCTGAGCCCCTTTTGTTTTCAGCTGGAAACTCCTCTGGTTATACAGAGCAGCACTTGACTATATGTGCTTATTTGTAATTTAATTAATATTTTTCCAGAAATAATTTTTCATCAATACACAAATAACTCGGTACTGAAAACTGTCTTGGAAACAATATTCCTTATAGCTGAAATCATAATGAAACCTGGATGGGTTACCTACAAATTAAGCTCAATTAAGTTAGCTCAATTTGCAGTATGCAGTATGAACAGGGTCTTAAATTCAGCTAAGCTGTTCCTCTCATATTATTTATTAGTGGTTGTCTAAACTGGACAAGCTGCCACATGTAGCTTAAACAATGCAAGCTGGAGCTGAATCCATTAAAACATTGAGCAACTAAAGTAGCTTTTGACTTCCAGAAAACAGTAGCTAGTTCTCATCCACTGCAATTGTTTGAGGACAACAAAGCAGCCTAAAATCATCTGGTTCCCTGCCTGGCATGAAAGAGAGAACTGTGGTGAGTAGGTGTCACTAGGCTACCTGGAGATGACTTGACAAACTAGCATAACAAGTGTGGCACAGTTCTTGATTTTAACCAGGGCTCTCCGTTTCTTAGGAAGCTTACACCTTAAACTGTATTTAAGAAATTGCAGCCGTTTAAATGACCTCGCAGCTTCATTCACTTTACTGTGAGAGGACTCTCATAAAAATAAACCTTTTATTCAACTGAATAAAATCAGGTAGTAAGTTAAATAGACAAATACGTTATAGTTAATAAAGACAACTTTAGGAAGGTAAGTTTCTATTGCCAGCAACCACCTCAAGCAATTAAGTAGATTCCTACCCTCAAGGTAGTAGCAGCAGCCATTTTTTGACTCTATAGACTTACTGCCTTTTAAGCAGGAATTCATTTGCCCCTGGTCTGTGAGCATGACTTCTTCACAGGAAGTTAAAAAAAGATCTGAAAACTCTTTTCACGATCCAGAAGTGTAACCAGATGCATCGTCCATCTTATTTTACATTCAAGTGCCTATTATATATAATCATTTTACTGTTTCTTTTGCTTAGTTCTATGTCTGTAACACGCTTGGAGCCAGAATTGCAAGCCAAGATCCAAGAGAACAGCCCTGAACTAGAACGTGTGTATTTTAATAAAGGATTATAATTCAAGGAAGGGAAAATATCTTTCAAGAAGGATCTTGTGAACTTATTTTTGAATTATGTGCCAGCAGAGTTGAAGATGAGAACTCACTTTTAACTTGTCCTTTTGTTAAACAACTTTGATCATCTGCATTATTTTATACTTACAGACTTTCCTCGTTGTAGTGTTTAAATTACAAAAGGTCATTTTGTCCACTTTGGTATTGATTAAAAGTTTAACCATACATATCAAAAAAAATGTTTACATAAGCTCTCAAGCAGCTACAATAACAATAAACAAGCACACAAAGTAAAATAGATGCTATGATATCGGATTGCCACCTGTTCCAGTAATAGCAGGGCAGGGGTCTCTGTGAAAAGTCATAGAGCAACTGAACGAAGTTGCCACCCTCTGCCAGCAGCAGGCCGGGGAGCTGAACGAGACAGGAGGTTGTGCAGGAAGGGCTTTTTACCAGGAGGCTGATTAGGTTGTAGGTTTTCCCTGTTGGCACAGAACCGTTTCTTTAAGGTAGATGTCGGAGCAGCCTGGAGCTTCTGCACGGTGTGGTACTGTTCAGCAATACAAGTGGCTTTCTTCCGCAGGTCTAGTTTTACCAGCATCATGTTGTTCTGCAGTTCTGCCAGTGTTTGGTCCTGAGAAAGGGAAGGCAATATATGTAAAGATACAACTAGTTGCTTAACTCCCTGGTTACTATGAACTGAAGAGGATAAACTGCCTTTGCCAAAATTCACTAACTGGCACGCCAAATAAGGCCAGGCATAAGAGCTGCTACTGTCAACAGTGTAGGAATTCAACAGAACAGGAGCAGCAAGGTTAGGAAAAAGCCGAGTCCATCCTGCTGCAAACATGCTGCCATAGTAACTGTGACAGATTGAAGTGGATAAGGAAATGAGAACTCTGAATTCTCCTACTTGAAGTGCAGGCTGTCAGTTAACTAACAGGAACAATTTGGGTCTCCTTTGGAGAGTTAAATATGCAGGCTGACTCAGCCATTGAAAAAGTTAGCAATATAAGTCCCTTAATGTAACAGGCAGTATGGGACTAAAGAGCAAGTCATTTTTATTTGCAGTTGGCAAGAACCTAGGTTATTCTGCTGACTATGGCAAAGTGCAGACTAAATCCCCCTGTGCAACCCACAACAAAACAGACACATTACCTGTCTAGCCAGAATGTCATCACATGTGCTGAGGGCTTCTCGAAGTTTCCCTGCACTGGTACTGTGGCAGCACGCCCTCTCTGCGGACTGAAGAGACTCTCCCAGTTTTTGTAACTCTGAACGCAGCAATCTGACATTCTACAGGAGAAAGAGATTTAATACACCGGCTCGTTTTGACACAGCTCTGCAAACAAAGCCATTCCAGGGTAATTCAGACATGCAGAACTGCGTGAGGATCCCACGGAGTGAGGTACACTGGGATCACAGATAACACAACCTTCCACATCTCTAGGAAGGGTTTGCTTTCAACAGACCTCTTCCAACTTCAACCATTTGTTTAAAAACCTGGAAACCACAGTTCCAAACACTGTTTAAACTGGCAACCACCTTGCCCCACGAGTGTTCCTTTCTGTAACAGAGATAGAGTTACCTTCTGTCCTTCCTCAAGCTTCCTGTCTACATCCACAGTAATAGGTTTGGCAGAGGGAGGTGGCTCCAATAATTTCTGGTACTTGCACAACTCTAGGAACAGATAAAAAGTGAGCAACAGTACATTCGTAAGCTTTCAGTTTTTCTGAAGTCAGGACTTCCCTCAAGACAAGCTGCCACGGGCAAGCTGAGAAAAAGCTTTGAGTTTGTGCAGATATGCACAAGCATTCCAGGCTTCTCCCTTTCAGTTATGCAAATGGACTTTAGAATTTGGACAGGAAGATGATCCTGCCCTGAAGTCCATTTTCATGTGAAAATGAAGTGAAACCCCATCCATCCAACACATTATTCCGCTCATGTACAACTCAGAATAGTGGTTTCAGGATGTCTAAATCAAATGTATTCTACCGAAAGGAGTATCTCTAACCCTCTGCAAGGATTGCTCAGGCATAGTTCAGAGCCAGTGCAGCATCACTGCCTTACCTGCTGTTGTGGCATTTAACTCCCTTTGACATTGCTCCAGTTTGGCTTTAGTCTCTGCCAGCTCCTGTTGCAGAGCACATGAGCTAGCCACTCGCTTTGATCGACGCAAGCCTTGCTCCGAGTCCTTTTGCTTAGTATCCAGACTCTCCAATTTTTGTTTTGCTTCCTGCAGAGCAGCTTGGAGCTCCTCAATCTTCTCATCACGCTCCTTAGAAAGCAAGTTTGTTCAAATACTCAACAAGAATTTCTTAACACAGCTTTTCTGAAACTTCCAATGTCTGTCTTCTGGGAGACTCTCAATCACATACTTCACACATTGGACCCAATCTTTAATGTCCTTTAAGTGAAAACAGTGAACCCGTTTCCTGGGAGCCTAAACCACTTTTTTACAGCCTCTAAAGATAAGGGATTTTGAGAGTTGGCATCTTCAGAGATGTTTGCAATAAGTCCCAGAGGCCACTCAAATGCCATAGCATGAAAAATACAGACAGGCTCATACCCGTCATCACAACTAAGAGTGAGAAGAGAAATTCACAGAACTTGCGTGAGTTTGAAGAGGGCAAAGCCAGCCACTAGAGAAAAGAGTAAGGGGGGGAAGAGAATCACGATGAACAAATAGAGTAATCAGAATGATTGCCCATGAGCTTCCAGATTAAGGCCTGAAAATCAGAAAGCCTCGTGAACTACATAAAGCAGTAGACAAGACATGAAAATTGTGGCTCAAGCTGTCAAGTACTATCACAAAAAAATCCCACAAAAAGCAAAATCTTTCCTTTCAGTTTGCATAAGTCACCTTCCTGGACTCAAGTACCCCCAAGTCCCCTCCCAACGTGCTGCTGCTTTCCTGATGTCATTTCATTGCCCTGAACAAACCTGGATCTCCTCCTGGTAATAGTCAGTCAGTGACTCCTTCAGGTTATTCAGTTTATCCTCGTACAGTTCCTCCAGCAGCTCCTTCTGAGCATCCACATGTTGGCTAGAAAGAGAACAAACAACTACCTGTCAGGGTCTGGCAGTTCTTGGTACTGTAGCTCACCCTGAACAAAGGGACGGAGATCAGCATAAGCTGTACCTGCACCACTGCTCCTTCTGTTGCATGTGCTCGAGCATCTCATTGCAGATCTCCTCACGGAGACGCATTTCTAGTTGCAGCTTCCCCTGCCGCTCTTGCACCAGCAGTTCTCGTGCAGCTTCCACTACACGCAACAAGTCCTGCAAGGAGGACAGAACCTCCATGGCCCACACTGCATGCCAGAATCGACCTAGAATAAACTAGGTGATCCCCTATCTGTAGGCTGGGGCGATCAAGGTTTAAGATTCTTTTAGTCACTTGGAAAGAGAAGTTGCCAGGTTTGCTCTTAATTCCTCTCCCATGAGACAGCTTAAACAACCCTGCACTCCACATGGAGCTATGTCCAGAGCAGCTTCCCCTACTGGACTGCACCTGCCTTTGCTGCCTTGACACATTACAGCTCAAGTCTCTGTAGGCAAAATGACTTCCATCTTGATCTTCCAGCTATTCCAGCTGCCCACTTTGAGTATCGAGGAAGTTTGATTATTTTTCCTCAGTTTAGCCCTCTGTTTTACATCTTTTCTGATCTCTAGACTTTACTTGCAGAGTAGGGATTATAGGTCTGCACCCAAGTTCTTACTGTCCCTATTCCACAGATGACAAAGTGATTCCAAGTCAAGCATGTGCTTCAGATTTAGGCCAACTGTGGAATGTTTTCGTCATGGATTCCCAGTTTCCTGGGTCCTGTATCCCTCTGAGGTTCTCTGTCATCTCTTGATATAGTGCCAAGCTTCAGCCCCACCTCCGAGGCCAAAGCTAACAGTTATGTTCTTGCCCCTCTACCCATAAAGGCTGTAAAACAAATCACAACCCACCTCCTTCTCATACATGGAGACGTCTGTTTCATCCTCACTGTCTTCTGATTCACTGTCTTCGTCCTTTGCCACTGTCTCTGGACCCTGGCTGGTTCGCCTGTTGTGCTTTTTGATGATTGATTGTATAGATGGAAGTCCCAGCTTTGTGGGAGGCACCTGAACAAGCTGAAAGTGGAAAACCCATCATTACTAGTCCACAAAGCCTAGCATGTGCATAGTCTTTAAACACAGCGCTTCTCTGCAACCTGTCAACCCTTTCAGTTTAGCAGAATCTGGAAATACCGTAAAGGTAATAATCCAGTGGAGAAGCATAGGGAAGACGTGCAAGCATTCCCGCTGCCTTGTGATGGAAAGGGGCCCGTTCCCACAGAAGCAGGATGTGTCCTGACCATGCCATGAACCTGGTGTGTGCTACTTACCTGGCTGGCAATGGCTGAGAACTTGGCTACATGCAGAGTTTCATCGTATGTGGACGCGCACTGGTTGATATTGACAATCATGCAGGAGCGCCCACGCCCAGTGAAGAAGCCCTGGAACACGCGGGTGAGCTTGCTGTCCCGGAAGGGAACCACAGTCTGCTTCAGTCTATGGGGAGACACAAGAGTGAGCCCATGGGAAAGCACAACAGCCTCCCCACACCCTCCCTCTGGAGTTCTGGGTACTGACTTGGACTGCTGGTTCTGGCGGAGGGCAGCAATGCAGCGGCCCAGTGTGTGGAGGGAGGTGTTGATGTTGTTTGCTTCCTTCATTCGGTCCCCACTTTTCTGGTCTTTGCAGCGCTCTGACCCCGCAAGGTCACACAGGGATAACCTGAAGAAAACACAGGCTATACTCACACAACCGACTAGGTTTGTCCTGTTCTATCCAGGTTTACAATTCAGACACCCTGAAATCACCTACCCTGCTCACCTTCCCAGCTTCCCCATAAGGGCATGAAAGCTCTTTTGGGGTGTATGGGCTATTGCTGGGCAGAAGGGCCCACCCTAGGTGTAGGGGTTACACAAGGTAACACCAACACGAGCTTTGCAGTGTCAGGTTCAAAGATCCTTTGCCAGTCCTCAGCTCAGCCACTTCCCAGGTACCAAGACAGCCCGTTTCCAGATAACTACATGCCTGGAACAGGAATCAGCAGCACTCAAATCAGCCTGCTGCAAGGGCAACATTACTCATGTTTACCTTTGCTCAAAAAGCCTGAGAACTACCTCAAGTTGTACTTTGCAATAGTCCTCACAAACTCCTCAGTCAGTTCCAAGACCTAAGAGTGGGAACATTTACTCCTTCCAAGTACTTTCAACAGGTCCTTCCTCAAGATACTTCCCATACCCCA